ACCCTTGCCAGCAGTCTGAATTCATTCAAAGGAGGGAGATTTGGGGAAAGGCTGAACATTTGTTACTTCCCCTGTTCTGCCTTGTCAGGGCCACCTTGGAGTTGTGTGTGCCATACTCTAGTAGGAGTGAGAACACATGAGTAGCCACACTGGACCAGAACAGCATCCTGTCACACAGTAGCCAACGGGATGCCTCCAGATGGCCTACAAGCAGAGCACAGAGACAAAAGCTTCCACCTGTTATTGCCTCTCAGTACTGTTATGCAGAGGGTTTCTACCTGAATGAGAAGGCTGCATTTAGTCATACTTCTGAGATGTTACTATCCCTCATCCATGTCGCTTGTGTAAACAATGTTGTCCCAGGCTTAAGGACTTGCCCATATATATGCTGCTGCCTCAAAATTGACAAAGTCTTTGCTTGTGCATGCTACCATCACTCGGCACATGCTTTACCAACTGCTTATTTCCACACACAGCTACTTCTGGCCAGGGGGACACTCTGGCAGGAAAAATACAAGAGGCAACTAGAAAGTGCTGTGCTAGCACCAATGTTCCCTCTAAGCTGTGGAGTCTTGTGAGCAAAAATTCTACTTTGTGAGCTACTAGCATTAAAGTTGTGAGCGAGTGATTTGGCTGCTGCAAAATTAGTTTCCTCTGGAGCCATCCTTCCTGAGCTAAGACAAAAATGTGTGAGCCGGAGGCTTAAAAAACTGTGAGCCAGCTCACACTAACTCAGCTTAGAGGGAACACTGGCTAGTACATCTTGCACCTGTGCATACTGTCTCCTCCTAGGCTGCTTTGCTGCCAGGAAGTGGCAGAGATTCCACTGGAAAGCCAAAAGGGTAGGAAAGAGAGTAGATATTATCCTGTGATCTCATAAAATCCAGCCTCTGTCCTGGTAAAAGTTCAGGGTAAAAAGGCATGGGCCATATCAGGATCAGAAGTGTACAACCTTTCTAGAGTATGGCTCCTGACAAGTCAGTAAATTCAGGCACCAAGTCTCTAAGTGAAGTTTCCTTTAGGATTGCATCAGCATATACTCTGGAACAGGGCCTTTTAACTTTAATGGAATGTTTTGAATTATGATTTACAATGAGTAAAAAACAAAACAGGAATGTCACCTAAACTAATGCCCCAATCTAGCAAAGGGGATTCATGCATGGAAGCAGGTTTATAGCTGTGTAGCCAATATAAAGTTCAGATTGTGTAAAAAAATTATTTTCAGGAATGTGTTGGATTGCTGTATGAGATTAGCTCACTAATCTGACTTGCTCAGACACATCACAATAACCCATATTCTCCTCTATGCCAAAGGATGAAATTGCTTAGCATCCCCCCCCCCAAGACTCCCTCTTGTGGCAAAATATTTCAGAGAACAGGAGGACTAGCAAATTACAGCAAATTTAAAACTGGATAATTTGTGTTGGGAGTTCTCTTTAAAATCATTCAAGATTCAGAGAACAGAACCCTAAAGAATACTCAGGAAGTGCTTCACGAGATACCGGCTGGTCTATCAGAAATTTAAAACTGCAAGAACACACACAAGAAATTATAAAAATCAAAGAAAAGCAAAAAGATGACATACATTTAAAAAGGCAACATTATCAGATCAAGAATGCAGAACAAAGAGTTGAAATCCTGGAAACTCAATGCAGATCTAATAATTTGTGTTTTAGAGGAATTCCAGAGGACTTTGGGAGATCAAATTTGGAAAAAAAGTTTTGTGATTTACTTCTGAATGATCTGAAGGTTGAAGAAGACCTCCCTGACATTGACCAGAGTTTTAGACTGAATTCCAGATTTGCATTCAAGAATAAGCTACCTTGAGATATACTGGTTTGACAAGAAAACATGAGAAACAATACTAAAGAACCAAAGGAAACCTCCATTCAAGATAGTGGGAAAAGAAGTGCAGATCTTTCAGGGTTTACCAACAAGTGCCTTAAAGGAAAGACTTTGATTTTTTGAGACAGAATTTACAAAATGAATAAATAAAATATCATTGGAAAATACCATTTGTCATAGAGGTATACTTACCAAAAGGAAGAAAAGTAACTGTAACAGAGCAACAAGCCAAACAACCGGCCAAAGAATTGCAAGCAGAGGATTTACGTAGAGGAACAGAAGGAGAATCTCCAAGTTACTTAAAGCAATTTGCTAGCAGCTCAAAGCAAAGTTTGCAGACCAAAAACTCCAAAGAAGAAACAAGCACAGAAAAGGACAAGTTGGCAACAACATCAGAACAAAAATTGATAAATTAAAAACAGTATCAATAAATATAATGGACTGAATTCCCCTTTGAAACACATGAAAATCTTCAATAAATTGAAAAAACAAAACACCAATATATTATGCTTACCAGAGACAGGAACATATTTTAAACAAAAAATTAGGCAAAGCATATCCTGCTTTAACACAAAATAAAAAAATGTGGATTAACGATTTACATAAAGAATCCACAGTTAGAAGTTGTAGAAGAATTAAGAGATCCAGAAGAAGTCTGTTTTGGAAGAAAGAGTAAGAGAATACTTAAAAGATATCCTAATTGCAAAGTTACATCAGAACACACAAAAATATTAAATCAAACAATAACAATTCAAAAAACTCTCAAGCAATAAAGAATACGAAGGATGAAACACCAGGACCTGATGGATTGACAGCAAAGTATTACAAACATCTTGTAGTATTAACAATACTGTTAGAGAAAGTTATGAACAAGATAAAGGGAAAAAATAATTCCCCCCCAACATGGCAAGAGACACATAAAAATGCTAATGTATAAAGAGGGCAGTGATGCATCGTTACCACAGTCTTAAAGACCTAGTTCTCTGTTGAATGTAGACTACAACATTTTTGCCACGATAATGCCAGAAAGACTAAGAAAATGCATACCAAATCTAATATACTTCGATCAAACAGGTTTTGTACCAAAGAGGTACATGAAAGATAATATATATGATTCATAACAGATGCAATCTAATTTATGAATAAGAAGAAGAAATCAGTGTTTCCATTTCTAGATGCAGAGAAAGTATTTGATAATTTAACATGGCCTTTCTTATTGAATGTTCTACAAAATATGGGGTGTGGTTTTGCATTCTGGAACTGAATGCATAGAATATACTTGAACCAACAAGCAAAGATTTTAATTCATGGGAAATTAACAGAAACAATTTCAATTGAAAAGGAACATATCAGGGACATCCTTTATCCCCTTTATTAACCATACTAGCCATAGAGATTTTAGCTACAAATACTAGACAAGACAATAGAAAAATAAAAGTGGATGATGTAGGGTTCAAAATGAAAACCTATGCAAACAATGTGGTTCTAACAGTCTTGAATCCCCAGAAATCACTGCAATATGTAATTGAACATATCGAAGAATTTGGATCCCTATCAGGCTATAAAATTAAGAGAAAAAAGACAAAAATGATAACAATTTTTAATAAAACAAGATGGAGATTATAAAGAGCACAGAATGCTCAGCAGCTACCGATCCTATTAAATATTTGAGAACAAATGGGACTAGCCAAAATTGTAATCTTTTAAAAACATAACTAAGAGAAAACTTGGAAATCAATACAAGCCGATTTATCAAGATGGAAAAAAATTAAAACTATGTGGCAGGGAAGAATTTCTGTTAAAGGTTTGATGAATATGTAGAAGAGGTGAAAATATGTAATATTGAATATGTAGTAATGACAAAACTAATGATGTAGTCAAAATAGATTAACTGTGAAGTCTGAAATTTAAACTTAAAATGTTGAATACAATCATATTCCAATAGAAGTTAGAACTATAGTATATTACAGGTAATACCTTGAAATTATAACAAAGGGGATGTAAGGGGAAATATTTTCTGTCTTATACATTTTGTATTACACAGTTGTCCTTGACAAACGCAATTATGTTGTATAACCCTGTTTTTCTTTCCCTTTTCTTTTCTGTACTTTCACTGTCTTCTTCTTTATTTATTTATTTATACATTCATATACTGCTCCAACCCCGAAGGGTCTCTGAGTGGTTTACATACAGGTTCCAAATTCAATTTTCCCCTATCTAAGGCCACATATTACAAGGGGAAGGGCTGCCTACCAGCACCCAGCTGGCAGGGCTTGCTGTTCCTTCTTCTTCCAGGCAGCCTTTTTTTTTTTGGCGTTCCGGCTCTGGTGTCCTGGAGTAGGTCTGTTAGTCCAGCAGCTTCCTTTTTGGCGGGCCCGTCCTGGTGCGCGGTTCATGTCTGCTACAGCCCCTGGCCAACATCCATTTCTGGCTCCGCCGCGCCTGCACCGACACGCCACCGCGTCTTCCACGGCTCCGCCTCCACTGGATTGCTCGATGTTGCGCTCACTGGCCACCAGGGCTTGCTCTCGTCAACCTCGCCGCTTCGCTGCCACCAATCTCTCTGCCGCTTCGCCATTCACCGCCGCTTCGCGATTCGCCACTGATGCTCCTGCCACACACCCCACACAGAGGAGGAGGGTGCCCCCTGCCACCTAAGGGCAGATACCCATTTATCTACTTGCTATATATTACTGCTTTCGAACTGCTGGGTGGGCGGGAGCTGGGACTGGGGCCGGGAGCTCACCCCGGCCGCGGTGGGTTTCGACCCGCCATAGTGGTTGTTCATTGATGTTACAAGCAGGCGTTTTACCGCCTGCGCCACCACTCCTTCTTGAATAAATACATACCCAATTCCACATTTAGGGGTCATTTTACAACTATGCTATCAAATATCATCATGTTCTAGGGGATGGGCTCAAAGGGAAAGGGCAAGGCAAAGCAGGCAGCCACACAAGTAAACAGGGAATACAAGCCGAATAGAACATCACTGGTATATGAATTCCAGCTTCCTGTCACCATGACCAAAAAAATATTGAAGACTATGATTTGTTCAGCATCCAGTCACTCTCAGACTGCTTCTGTATAGGGACTTCCCAATTTCCCCATCACTGAATACTCTCCCCACCCCCCACCCCCAGTTTTTCTTTTAAGTTTCATAAAATAATGCTGCCCTTTAAATGACTATCATTTATGAACCTTTATATTTAAATCCAGTAAAGTACCTTTGCTATCTGTACAGGCCCCTTGTGTATAGTGCTCATTTAGACCCATCTACTCCTACCTACACCTACACAGAACCACTGATGCCTTGGCCTTGCCCCACCAGTGTTTTGCCACTTGGAGGGCATCCACACATGCTTCTCACCCATCTCCAGTGGAAAAGCATTCTGAAAGTCAAGCTGTTTGTCATCATTCATGGAACTTAAAACACACAGTCATCACCTGATTTAGATAGGCGTGTGAGCCATGACTGAACAAGGGGCTTCTCCAAAGTTCACCTTAGCCATCAAGGGGGCAAAAAGAAAAAAAACACCACTCCTCTCAAATTTGGACTCCTATCTGGAATACGGGTATAACACTAACCAACTTAAAAGGATGTTATACAAACTGCTGAGATGGCATACATTTACTAGGAAGTCTCTTGTGCTGTGTCAATGTCAAGTGTGATAACATTGCTTGTTGAACACATGTGGTATATTCAGGGGAAAGAATGAGCAAGAAGGAAGAACCAAGACAGAAAATTCAATCATGTTATTAGCGTCATCCAATTTTCAGACTACAAGGTAGTTTAGAACTCAAAATCGTTTAATGTCTCTCCCCCTCCCTTTCAAATTGTCTGGTTCAAAAAGAGAAGACAAGTACGTCCAGTTTCAAGTCCTTGGTTATTTTCGCAAATCACTACTGACGACTTGGGAAGGGGAACAGCAGCAACACTGGATACACCTTCAATGGCCTTCATTCTAAGGACTCCAAATCAAGTTTTCACTCTAAATCAAGCCGTGGCAATACAGGAAGAATAAGATTTCCAAATGCTGAGTCCTGGGTGATGAAGTATCCCGAAGAATGTGCATGAGCATGCTGGAAAAGGAGAAATATATATATATATATATTTGGAAAAATGGCAAACATTGTTTTTTACCTGCTTTGAATATGCCCACTGCCATTCCAGCTAAACTATGCATTAAAAGTGCAGCTTTTGTTTAACGTCAAAGGTGGCACTCCTTACACTCAATCAAGCTACTGGAATCCCATTGGCCTCCTATGTTTTTTAAACAGCCTGACAGTTTACTTGATTGCAGGATCCATAATTCCATGCAGAAGGCAAACAGAACTGCCAGACACACAGACTGGAATCCTAATCTGTTTACAGGGCTGTCTTTTAGGTTACTGCTGCACCCTCTGCTGCTGGAACTCCCACATAACGGGTTGCAGAGGAGAGAGCTTTGAGGTACGCGCCACACCTACACGAGAAGTCACGTGGCACATGACAACCAGACACAGATGCTATTCTGGATTCTGTGTATCATCACACCATTGCTGAGTTTGGCAAGCAATGTCATCCATATGCAGGTTCTAAGTTTTCGTACGGTATTTATTTTATTTTATAATATTAGACTTATAGCACGCCCTCCCCACATTGTAGGCTCAGCCGGGTACCAACAAATAGGTCTGCAATTAGCGCAGACATACAATTAAAACATATTATAACAATCCATTAAAATCAATAAAATCACCAGCATTAAAACAACAATGTGCCTCAACAGATGAGAACATGGTCCCAATCCAGCTTCTAGGCTCTGCGGTCACTGGAGGGAAGGCCAGACCAAAATGGATGCCTACCGCCTCAACTAAAAGCCTGGCGGAGAAGCTCTGTCTTGCAGGCCCCGCGGAACTGTAATAGGTCCTTCAGGGCCCTGATCTCATAAGGTAGCTCGTTCCACCAGGCAGGGGCCAGGGCTGAAAAGGCCGTGGCCCTAGTTGAGGCAAGTGGGACAACCCTAGGGCCAGGGACTACCAAGAGGTGCTGGTTCGTAGAATGCAATGTTCTATGGGGCTCATATGGGAAGAGCTGATCTTGAAGACATGCAGGCCCTGGGCTGTATAGGGCTTTAAATGTATGCACTGACACCCTGAAATGGATCCGGTATTTGATAGGTGGCTAGTGCAGGTCACGCAGCACTGGGCGGATATGTGCCCAGACAGGTACACCTGTCTTTGCTCCCAGCACATGAGGAAAGGTACTCTAGGGACCACTGCTTTTGACATATTAAAATAAGGCCCCAAGGAAACCTGCAACCACAGTTGATTTGGGTCTGCTTCATCCAGGACCACTTACCTGCAAGGCAGCCTTCTGCTGTGCTGCAATGTGCTGTTGCTCAGCATGATCACGAAAATCCTTATTAAGGGAGGATCTAGTGAGCGAGATGCTGCAAGCAACAGGGGGGAAAAAAAGAACCCATGTCATACGAATGCAACAAAATCTAGCACCACCACAGGACTATGGCCAGGGTGGGCACTGCAGAGCCAAGAACGTCTGCTCTGAATACAAGATTTGGATTTTTGGGAAACCTGACATGCAAGATGGTGGGCAAGCACCAGATGGACAAGTTCTGCTCAGGGACACTCGCTCCAGCGATGGCAGGTTAAGTCAAACAGGAAAGATGCCCGAGCCCCAGTGTCAGTCAAAGGGAAATCAACTGGAAGGCATGCAGTAGAATGACACTTGGCCCCCCAAGCTCATTTGTGTGTCTTGCCAGTGCCACCCAGTGACTTGCCTAAGCGATACCTGAATAAAACAACAGCACTACTAACCAGGGGTCCATAGTCTTCATGATGGGGAGTTCATATGTTTGGTAGAGTGGCTGCAGAACTCTGTATGCATGAAAAGAGTTTCCCATTGAGATCCAACCCAGACAAACTTTGTTTGTAGCCAACATGTTTATACAGTACATTTAAAAAAGCACCTGCACCACCAAGAGCAATAAGATAAAAGCTCTAGACCAGGGGTCCCCAACCCTTTTGAGCCACTGGACACCTTTGGAATCCTGGCACAGGGTCACGGGCACAGCTATAGAATGGCTGCCACACGAGGCAGAGTCAACCAGGAAATGGCCACCACCATAGGTGCAGCCAATCACAAAATGGCTGCCACAGGAGGCATAGCCACCCTACAGAGGAAACACATGCAGGGAACGATGAGTGATTTTTTAAAAACACCCTGGGACAGGGAAGTGAGATAAATATTAGTAACACTGTAGTGGCAGCTGTTGCAGAAACAACATTATTTGAATCTGCATCGCCAATCAGATCTCCACTGGCTACTCAGAAGCCCTGCTGGGCAGCAGTCCCAACTTGGTGGGTACCAGGAAAGGTGTTTGGCAGGTACCATGGCACCCCCATGCACAACGTTGTGGACCCCTGCTCTAGACTAACACTTGAGGAAAAAAGAGTCATATACAGAGTCATTCATTTTTGCATTTTAAGAGAGAGTTCCTTTGTAAGCTCACAGATTTTCATTAAATCACAGATTGTTATGCCAAAACTATGCAAAGCATTTGAAGCTAGAAAGAGAGACGATGGGTAAGGCAAAGTATTGAGGTCTGAGATCCTGCTGCTCTCAACATTCTTCAAGAAGTACCCAAAATTAATGGCTGTGCATTCTCTTTGGGAGTCAAGAACAAGCCATGTGTCATCTAAACCGACTGGGATCAAGACCTCATGAACTCATTAAAAATAAATACTCCTGTGAAACATGCAATGTACATATTTGATGGTGACGATACAGGTGTGCGACCGTGTGTGTGTGTGTGTGTGTGAGAGAGAGAGGTGTTTAGTTCTCATGCTATTATCTCAACTCCTACCTGAATTAAAAAGAAACAGTGCAAGAAAGTTTGATGACTGTGCAATTCCTGCCTTTCTGTAATGTAGAGCACTCTGGTGTTTTTGCTTCAAGAGATTCACCTGGCCACTGTTCTGAGAACTGCTCATATGTCCACTAGACTGACCACCACAGAGGGATCATTTTACAACTCCTATGGGATCTAGATTGCCACTGCTGAAGTTGCTCCATCAGGATTCATCTACATGCTTAGTTTCAAGCCCTCTTGTTTTTGGCCGAAGGATGCACTTAGTGTTAAGATTTTAATTGTCTTTTATTGTATTCCACCTACTGTTTTACTATGGATTTCAGACTGTAGGCAGTTTGAGGAGTGAATTTTTACTTTAAAAGTGGGGTAAAATAAAACACATTTTAAAAACGAAATGTATCCAAGCTCTCCTTTTCCAAAGCAAAAGGGAAAAAGGTGAAAGACTCAACAATCACAGTATGTGTGCTGGCTGTCCCAGGAACAATCAATGAGCAGCTCTCATAAAATGACGTTGTTCCATTAGATATATGTATCACTATATGAAAAAGCAACATTTAATTTTTTGCTTTGATCAGAGAACACTGCTGAAATAAATACGCAGTTCTCCGCATGTACAGTACCTGGCTCCAGGATGATTGGTGGAAGACTGGTTTTGCATCAGTAGCTTTCTCTTCTCCTTGTCTAGCTCAGCCAAGATTGCAACCCTGTTTTTATTCTGAAAGCCTGACAAGAATGAGAAAAATGTAAATGACGGTGATGGGCTTTATTTCTTCAAACCACCCCATAACCTCACTGGCTTAAAGCCTCTTCGTAGTACATTAGGATGAATATAAATGAGGAATATATTAATCTTCAAAGCTGATGAGCACCATCCTTGAAGTCTAACACACACCCTTCTCTCTTTTCTTCATTTATAACCTGCAGTGGTTATCTCTGTTTTTTCCTTCTTTTTCATACTATATATTGTACGCTGGTCTTAAGACCGTAATAATAAAACTAATAAACCTGCAGTAGCTTCCTAACAATATTATGAATAGCTATTAGAAGAAGTCTTTAATCTTGAGCAAGGTTTGCTTTGGGAAGCTGATTTCAAAACAAGCAGGCTCCTGGCACACCACCACCAGTTCCTTCCCCTACAAACACAGCTTTCTGCATTATAAATATTACGTTCTGAACAACAAGAGGAAGCAGACTCCCGAACTTGTTGTATTTTAGACATGACTCCATTCATTGGGATTTATAGTTCAAAAGACGTTTTTATATATGGGAACGGATCTGATACTAAATTATTATGTTATTATGACTGTTGATGTATGTTGAAAACTTTGTCACTGATTAACTGGCTGCTTTGAAATTTTGGATTCTCGGGACTTTTGCTTACTGTTTTGCAGTTACTGTATATGTTATAAGTTATACTTGATCTTAATAAACATTTTAAAAACCAAAAAATAAAATAAAAATAAATACATATTACATTTGACAGACAGGAAGCAACTGTGTTCAGAATAATTTGTACAAGATGTGGTCAAATCGGGGTCCTTAGTTTATTCTAGCAAAATTCAGCTGAAAACTATAGTACCAATATTAGAAATAAAAGCTCGTTTGCATGCATGCTTTTGTGCCACCTACAGGACTAGTTAGGACCCTGAGAACTATAGATTTAAAAATAAAACAGATTCCAGTCCCCACAGATAAGTTTGAGAATGTAATGGGGGGAAACAGAGCAAAATGTTGTGAGGGTTAGACAGAGCGTTAAACATTGTAAGAAGTTTGTTTTTGAACTCTGATTGGGCTTTGTCCTCCAACTCTGCACAACTAACTGTGGAGCCTTCCACCAGAGAAACAGCTTCATGGGCTGGAGGAAGGCCAGGTGCTTAGCTGAGAAGTGTAGCAGGATACAACCCATTCTTTGTCTGATTGCATTTCAAGCTGTTTCAGGAGCTGCTTCCAGTGTGTCACATTTGAGGGTAACACGTGTATCCATCACATACAACACCAGAGAGATGCAATTTACCATGAAAACTGCGTTGACTTCATGTAGCTGCAACACACAACTGAACTGTAACTCCAGCTCAGAATATACTTCTGCCTTGGCCCGCCACATACATTACCCATACCTGCTCAACATCTAGGAAAACAAAGACTCCAACTGACATAACTCAGTGTACGCATTTAGCCTGTAATTGTTTCAGAGATATTACTGGGGGGAACAGCTTTCAGCGCTGCACCAGGATAAGATGGCAGCACTGCAAGTGGGTGTTTGAATAACTACACACTGACTGTGTTAAACAGTAGGATAATGTTTTCAATTTAATGTTTCAAAACAAGCCATCTCTTCTAAGGATGCTTGTACATTCTTACAGCCCAGTCAGCAGCGAGTGGATTTTTTACATGGCACAGTATAAGAAATGAGGGTGTGGTTCTAATTTGGGCCTAAAAACAAAGATTGGGTGATACAGGATGGCTTATTAGATCAAAGTTGACAAATTACTTAGACTAAAAAAAACTACTGGCAGTCCGAAGTGTGATTTAAATTCTGGTCTTGTACGTATTGTTAATAATTGTGGTTTTTTCTGCACGGTAAGCCACCTTGAGTTCCGCATGGTAGAAAGGCAGCTAAATGTCTTAAAATAAATAACAGAAACCAGATATTCAATACTCTTGATAGCCAAAGGTAGCTCGGTATTATAGCCAAAGGTAGCTCTGTATTATAAGCCATATATCTCAATGCACTGTTCAGTAATAAGATCCTTTTTATATCCTCTGCGAGCCAATCACAATCAGTACTGGTAGTCTAAAACCTTACTGGCATGTGGTTTTCACAGAGTCAGTGTATTATGGAGCTGCACAAAGAACTCGTAGCAGATGAGCACAGAAAAGGATGCTTGAGGCCACTAAGGTCATCTGGATATCGAGATAGTCCTTCAGTTCATGAAACAACAACCTAGATAATATCTGTGTGGGGCTTCTCCTGCCCTGGCCTACTGCTCACTCCTCTGTCTTACCACCACACCTCAGTGAGAAGAGGGGAGGGGCCTGCAACACCGGGATCCTCCTCTCTACTGCTCCCCACTGCTCCGAGCAGGATCAGCTACAACATCCTTGGCCTGCTTCTGGGCCCTCTTTAGATTGCCAGGGGGATGCCACGTCCTCTTGGCCATTTCCAGCCCACCCGTGTGACTACGAAGCACTGGGGACTGGAGGAAAGTGCTCAGAACCTGCCCTCACCCATGCCAGGTGCCTTTCCAAAGTACCTGTCTGCAGGGCTGCCTCTTACTTCAGAGGCCAGCCCCTGCCTGCTCCTTAGAGCCCCCCCTCCAGAGGCCTGCTGGTTGCATCGTTCCTCAGGACCCATCCCTGCTGCACTGCCCCCCCCCCCCGATGTACTGTGGCTTGGTTGGGTGGCACCAGGTCAGCCTCACTCCTGACCCTGCCAAAGTGCGGCGCAGTCAGCAGGCTGCTTTATTACACCCTTGGCATTCCCCAGCAGCTTGCTTTGTGCTGAGCAGTGGAACACACGGCAGCCTTCAACGATCCCCTTAGCAGAAGAGATCAGCAGAATAAGCCTAAAGTAGGGTGTGCTTTGTGCTAAGAGGAGGGGAACGTGAGTGCGTCTGTTTCCTGAAAAGTCACTGAACTAGAAAGGCACATGTGCTAATGGTAGAAAGATCCCCATTTGATGCTTGAACATCCAATTTTAATCCACTGTTCAGGACAGGTATCCAATAGGATACAGATTATCTAAGCAACATATAAACCAATTACTGCACCATTTATGATAACTTAATTGGGCCTTCTGCAGTCACCATCAGCAAGCCAATTCCCGATCACTTGCTTGTGATAATTTACATTCTGATGTGTTCTCCCAACACGTTCTGCAACAATTAAGCTAAATTCATGTTGCTCATTAAATCCCCCCTGAATTATTAAAGTAGTATGAATATTTTACTTGCCTCTGATAACTACAACCACATATACAGAACAATTTAATATGTACAGTGGTTTATGGATAGAGAGCCCTTAGGGAAATCGGCATATAGATTAACCTTCAAATGGGAGGCTTTGCATTAAGAGCGGCACTTTAAAATATAGCAGCTGTGTTTGAAGCCCTGCTTTCCTTCCCTTTCTGCAGAAAAACAAAACTCTGAAATTCCCCATAGTTTTAAGTTAGGCTAGTCTACTGAGGATAAAAGGAACATCTTGCAGAAAAGCAAGAATTGTTCTTTCTAGACACTTTCCAATGGGAACCCCCCCACACACACACAAATCCAGTCAATGTTTTTATCATATGTACTTTGTGCCCATCAGGAAGAGAACAGGTCATCAAATCTCTGACCAAGGGGTGGACAGATATAGACTTTTTGTGAGAAGTCAGCTACACAATTCAAGAGTACCATACAGTACAGCCCTTTCTAGTATGCAGGTGGGGAACTGCATGTTTGAATGCGCATTTGATCACTGTAATACAGTCTGCATTGGGCTGCCCTTGGAAACTGTTGAGGAGCTACAGCTGGAGCAACAAGGGCGGATGCCCCTTGGTGACCCTATTAAGCTGGCACTGGCTAGTTTCCGGGCTCAATACAAAGTGCTGTTTTTGATCTTTAGATGCCTAAATGACTCTGGCTCAGAGCATCTGAAGGACGTTCTCCACCCATGTCATCCAGCCCGAGACTGAGGTCTATGGCCCCTTTCTTCTGGGATGCAGCCAGAGCCTCTTCAATTGTCACACCCCTGCCTGAGCAACTCCTTCCCTAGGGCCCAAGAGCAGCCACATTTCTGAAGACCCTTCCTTTCCGAAACGTCTTCAAGCTAGATTGATGGCTACTGCTCTGTATGGAGGGATCTTTCTGGTGGGTCTGCTATAACATGCCGGCATGCTGTTGTCATTATGCTGATTTCAGTTTAATTTTATTAATCGTGAATCATTTTAATATACTGTCATTGCAAACAGCTTTGGGGACCATGTTTGGTTAAAAGCTGATTTTAAAATGCACTAAATAATAATGTTCACCTGCATTAAAAAAGAAAAGGGGGAAAAAAGCAAGCTGTGTGTGGAAAACTAGCCTGGCAAGAGAGAAAACAAGGTAAGACTCCCTGTCCCCAAGAGGGTATTTCTTCCACAGATAGTTGTTTTTATGAGACGGAGGACTCAAAACATGCAATTTCTCCCACCTGCCATCTCAAGTGTTACTATCCTCAATCATATCTCAATAGAGGGCTTTCTAGGCCTGCTAGCTACAGGGAAAATGGGAAAAAGATAATTAACTGGATAAGAAGACCCTTTGGTATTAATCTTCTGCTCAATCCCAAAGTCATTTTATTGGCATTGTTACAACTGGCAAGAAGCCAAGAGCAGGCATTAAATCTATTGTTTATTAGCTCAAGGCAAAATTGTTAATTGGTAGACTTGAGAAGAAGAAAAAAAGCCACGATTAAACTTCAGGCTAATGAAAGTTTGGAAAGGAGCAAACATAATGATATTATCATACGGATTTATACTTCAAGAGGATGAATAACAAATCTAAATGGATTAAAGCAGTAACAGTATATGGTAAATTTCCCTAGTACGGTGACATATTTAACAGAATGGAAAGAAGGCCAGTATATCACAAGGTCCTTATGGGGGGTGCAGTATGTATCTGTTGAGCATTATTTTGTCCCAGAATACACAAGTGGAGTCAATTAAAACCAGCCCAGCTCCTTCATCAGCAGTATCCCACCCCAAGTTCTGTTCCTTGGTCACACTACAGTGGGACAGAACTTGAAATGTTTGTCAGAGGATCACTTAGTGTATTTTTGTCTAACTGCCAAATGTAATCTTAAAGACCAACTGAAACAATTTTTAAAAATCACACTGGACTTCCACTGTAATGGTTTCTTCAGTGCAGGACTCTTTTTATCCAGATATTCAACTTTGTTCCTTAGTTTTAAAGCACTCTGAAGGCCTTTTAACCTGGTTTATGGGGGAGGGGGGAAAGACTGGTTTCTCCCTTTCACCTACCTTCCTGTTCTCCCCCTTGTAAAATATGTGTTAATTGGATTTTTATGTGACTTTATTATATTGTGTAAGCTACCAACTGTGCCAACTGCAGTTTATTATTTTATGCAAAGCACTCTAGGCACCAACTGGTGGAGCCGTATAAATAAAAATTATTAGAATTAAATGCCACAGTGTGATGGCTTGTGAAGGACACAGCTGCTGAACGCATGTCCAAAGACAGGGATGCTGGAAAGCACCCACAGACCATATTAATTCAGAATGTTATTTGCATAAAACACTATTGCCTGTGATTTTTTTTTTGAAGGCAGAAAAATCACTGGCCTCTAGTCACGTGTAACTAATAGCATATGCAGACCAGAGAGTGATGCAAATCAAAAAGCCATAATTCAGACAGTTCAGACTGGGTGATCACTGCTAAGCAGAGGGGAAGGCAACACAAACTGCCTTACTAGATCCGAACGTGCCTTCCCCTTTGCTGTCAACTCTTTTGAATTGAATCTGCTTGTTATCATTCAGGTTCAAAATCGCCATGTTAAGCACTATTAAAACTTAAAACACTCTCAAACCTAGAACTTTCCTAGTGCAGAAGAGCTGAATAAACTCCTTCTTAGGATGTTTCTCTTCTTTTTTTTGCCCATAAGAAAAAAAAAAAGGGAAGATTACACAGAATTTCACACAGTTCAGAAATCAAACCATGGGATGTAAGAAAGATTACCAGTTACCTTGTCCAGGAGGATTTGAAGCCATCTTGGGTACTGTCAGCCTTAATTTTATCAGCAACAACTGCAACTTGTTAAAGGAAGAGCTTTAAAGAAACCCACAACAACACAAGTTAACATAAAGCAATCCAATACACTGTGATGAGTTAATATATTTCTTCGATGCCTTCCAGAGCATGACGAAAGCTTACAAAATTGTTTTCGATCCGACAGGGCAAACAAACACACACAAAGACCAACAGAAATCTGGGTGGCAGTTCTTCAACCCAGCTGATCAGAAAAGTGGTTTCTGAGTTGAGCATGTTTGCAGAATCTAGTTTGTTTCTGTTTCCTTGATAAGAAATTTGGATTTTCCAGACTTTCCCAAAAACAGCTACTAATCAAATGGTACAAACAGGGTATCCACTGTATTTTTAACTAGCTCTGACCCAATTCTTCTGACATAAATCCAAAGCAGAGTTACACCCTTCTTAGCCCATGGACTTCAAAAGGTGTAACAGTTTTAAACTTTCACTGTGAGAGTGAGACACAGAGACTGAACAGAACAGAAAGCTTTTCTTTGCATGGTTACCAGATGGAAAAGGCTTCCTCTGTTAAATCTGTCTCAGGTGGCTGTTAAACAACCAGATACAGGAAGTGTGCTGCCCCAGCAGAGATTACAATAGTAAAGTATAGGGAACTGCACTCTATATTTAAATTTATAGTGATCCTGGGAAAGGTAGTTCTAGTAACCTTAAGGTCCGCTGGTTAGTAGTAGCCTTTCTGATTGGTTTATACAACCTCCCTTTCTTTTGATACATTTACCAGGGAGAAACTGTTTATTGCCCTCATCCTTTCAGTGAGTGTTTGTAATCTTTGGCTAACATATGGGAGAGATTCAGCTCCTTTTACTACATAAGCCATTCAACAGACTCAGGACTTTAAGGCTCCTATCAGCACCAGGAATGGGAATGTAAGTAAACCAAACCTTTGAACGCTTGAGAGCCAATAAAGCTGAATTTAAATGAGTGGTCAAGTGCGTTGAATACTTAGCAGTCCATGCAACCAGCTCCACAGCTGTCAGGAACTGCATAGGAAGAGTGAAAAGAGTGGGCATGTATCTACATTACCGATTTTTAACTGGTTTATAACCCATTATCTTTCCACGGAGAACTGTAACTATTTAAAGGGGCATAGGGATTTCTATCACAATTTTCCTTCTTGTCAACAAACTACAATTCTTGGAGATAAATCACCATAGTTACTCATAAAACCGACTTAAATGTATAATATAAATATGTCCTAAAATTGCCAGTTGCAAAGGCAAGACATTCCCCAGACTTTGCTATTGTTAACAATAGAGGTGCAAGTTTAAAACACTTCAGTTAATAGATCAGTCAACTAAACCAGCAACATGGCATGTTATATTTCTCTGGAATCATTTCCTAAAGGTACATGATACTGCAACCTTACTGAAGCGAAACAAATCTAGGGCTGGTCCTTCCTGGGATGGGCCAGACTGCTTGGGAACTTTCTGTACACCACCCTGAGCTCCATGATGGGAAAACCTCTCTCTCTCTCTCTCAACTGCCATCACCCAGGCCAGAGACAGAAGGTGCAATAGCCAGCCATCTTTTCCATCATGCCTGAACAAAGAGCTCACTAAAATGGCATTTCAGTTAGTATTTGTGCTAGGTTTTAACTACCATGTTTTGGAAATATATATATATATATATACATACACACATAATAAATTTGTTCATACACGATTTTGATTCCAGCTATTGCAACAGGAAACAAAAATGAAAATACTAAAACCTGAGTCTCCTTCTAACCGTGAAAGAAAACAGCTTTTGCTTGTAAAGCTGTAGAGAGTCTCCTCTCTAAAGCATCCCCAATATCTCACTATGTCACGGCTGTTGGCATTTAGGTAGCATACACATTTATTTTAAACGGAACCAGAGGCAGGCAGAGGCAGCGGGGAAGGGGGAGAAAACGGCTGCAGGACGAAGCGGGGAATCAACGGGAGGAACAGATTTCCTCACCCCAAGGAGATACTCGCAGGTCCTCACTTAGAAACACCTGATACCAAAACAAACACGAAATGGACAAATAAAGCAACTGGCCGCAGACAATGCTTCTTGGGAAGCCACCTGTGCTTCTTGCTTTCGTACATATTTCCCATTTCCCAGCCTCTAGCTTCCTACACCCCCCATCCATCTCTCCCTCCCTCCCTCATTTTTGGGCAATACATATACATTCCCTCCGACCACCCGTTAGCCTTTTCTCCCTAGACTGGATTTCCAACAGAAACACGACTCACCCGCTCGTGACGCCATAAGCGTGCGCCACATCAAGAAGCCCGCCTCCATTACTGCCTCCAAGAGCTTACGGCGAAGGTGGTCGACATCGTCATCTGCCGGCGTTCCTCCCACTTCGCCTATTCCCGCCCACACAGAGATAATGTTCTTCAGTCGCCAATGACACCCACATTTTGATGGGTAGTACTTCTGACCAATAGGCAGCCTCTAGAATGGAAGGCGGGAGAACTAAGAATAGAGTAGAGTCTGATAGGCTGGAAGGGCCTTCCCTCCCACAGTCTTAATAGTGCGAGTACGGCATAGTTGACATCATGGTAGAATGCACCGTCGAGGTCCTTTTTTGATAGGTTACACTGCACGCCAAATGTTGGCTTAGGGTGGTGAATAGTAGAATCTGCAGGCGAGAGCGCGCCTTAGTGGCCGCGCGCTATTATTAATAGCACTGTTATATAAGTATGTATGAATAACATCATATTATACGACTCATCTTATATTAATATTATTGATTTATGGTAATGTTGCTATATATATAAATGATTCTAATATCTGCAGTTATTTGATATAAAGGTATTGTTTATATTTTCATCAGTGATATTTTTATTGCTATTAATAATAAATACTCTGGTTTAGAGTGCTGGACTGAGAGTTCTGGGTTCCAGTTCTCCACTCTGCCATGGAAACTTGCTGGGTGACCTTGGGCCAGTCACACACACTCAGCCTAACCTGCAACATGGTTTGAGCAAATGTCGGATCTAAGGGGATCATCATGAATTCATATGATTTTTACACGGAAAGGAAATAAAACCACCATCATACTGTAGGCCATGTGCTAGTCTATAGGGGGCACCACAAAAATCACGCATCCACAGATTCGTGGCACCACAACAGCGCAAAAACATGATTCCAGAGCACAGATCCTCATGAATTCATATGATCTATATGCTGAAATGAAATAAAACCACCATCATTCTGAAATAAAACCACCATCATTCTGAAGACCACGTAGGCAGCACTACAAAAATCATGCCTCCATGAATTCATGGCACCACAAAAGTGCAAAACCATGGTTCCAAAGCATGGATCCTCATGGATCTTCAGTGTTTTTGTGTTGGGTCACCATGAACTCACCATCAAATCACGTATCATGTCCATGGGCACAGCTTGCACTACAAATGTCATGGATTCACGGCTTCGTGGCAACACCATGAAGCCAAAACATGGTTCTGAAGCATGGATCCTCATGGATCCACACTGTTTTTGCAATGGGACACCCCAAACTCACCATCAAATCACATAACATGTCCATGGCAACAGCTTGCACCACAAAAATCACAGATCCACAGGTTCCTGGCAACACCATTCTGCAAAAAAAAAATGGTTCTAGAGCACGGATCCTCATAGATGACTGGGTTTTTTGTGGTGGGACACCCCAAACTTACCATTAAATCCCATATCATGTCCATGGCCACTATTTGCACTGCAGAATTCATGGATCCACTGCTTCGTGGAAACACCATACTACAAAAACATGGTTCTGAAGCACGGATCCACGTGGATCCTTATGATTTTTGCATTGGGTCACTCCAAACACACCATCTAATCACATAACGTGTCCATGGCAACAGCATGAACCAAAAAATCATGGATCCACAGCTTCGTGGTGACACCATTCTGCAAAAATATGGTTCTGGAGCATGGATCCTCATGGATGCTTGGGGGTTTTGTGTTGGGACACCCCAAACATACTATTAAATCCCATACCATGTCCATGGCCACTACTTGCACCACAGAATTTATGGATCCATGGCTTCGTGGCAATAGGATTTATTAGTATGTTTGGGTGTCCCAACACAAAAACCACAAGCATCCATGAGGATCCATGCTCCAGAACCATGTTTTTGCAGCATGGTGTTGCCACAAAGCCATGGATATGTGATTTCTGTGGTGCATTCTGTAGCAATGGACAAGATATGTGATTTGATGGTGATGTTGCGGTGACCCAATGCAGAAATCATAAGGATCCGTGAGAATCTGTGCTTCGAAATCATTTTTTTGCAGCATGTTGTTGCCACGAAGTCGTGAATCTGTGATTTTATGGTGATTACTGTGGCCATGGACATGACATGTGATTTATTGGTGAGTCTGGGGTGACCCAACACAAAATCCCTGAGGATCCATAAGTGTCCATGGTTCAGGACCTTTTGTTTGCAGCATGGATTTGCCACCAAACTGTGGACTCATGATTTCTGTGGTGCAAGCTGTGGACATGGACATGATATGTGATTTGATGGTCATGTTGGAGTGACCCAATTGAAGACCTCTGAGGATCTGTGAGGATCCGTCCTTTGGAACTGTTGCCAACGCTCAAGGGGCATTTAGGTTCTTTGACTTGTGTGGCTAGCCAATAAACCACACAGTGAAAACAATCATCCAGGCAGTAAAGGGTAACAAAAGTATTCGAATAAGGAACAGCCTACAGCTTAATTCAGCCTGGGTGTTCAACAAGCAAATGCAGAAAACAGACTTATATACCTTTCTCCTCATTTTACATCATCACTGACATCACGTAAACATGCTCAGTTCAGATTTCTTTGTCTGGCCAGTCATCAATCACATATTTGGCACACAGGATGTCACTTGGCTGAGTTTCCACTCCTACAATGCAGGTGCAGTTCATTATTTCTAATTTATAGCTTTGTTTACTCCCTTTTAGCACTACTCCCAGACTCCTGTTACCTCTGACTGAACTCTCAGACTGGGTTCATTCTCAATACTACATTCTGTCAGTTCAGTTACAAAACTCTACAAACTTAGTTCTTCTTTACACTTAATACATGCATATAAAAGTATCTTAAAGCATTTTATAAACTTATTTTCACTAACGGGTATACAAAAATATGAAAACATATAATTATAATGACATTTTTTGCAGCATGTTGTTGCTGTGAAAAGAACATGAATTCTTTTAGTGTTTCAAAATACCTTGTAGCATTAAGCTTTTGTAGATACATGCAATTTACTTTTTAGTTTACATTTTGGCTTGTAAACTTATTTTATAGAATATTTTGCAGAATATTAAAACTTCCTTATTCCATCAAAGTGTGTCATTCAACCAGAAGGAGACACTATTCTACAATACAAATTCTGTACCTCTAATTGGTTTCTTTAATTGGTTCGAAGAGTCATGATCTAATACCCACCTGCACCTTTTAATTGGCAGATGTGCATGATTTAATTACTTTTGGTTCTTGGCTGAACTCAATAGCTGGTTCCTCCCTGAAACTTCAAAAGACACACTTCAGAACACTTCTTCTCGTTAGCCTTTTCAACTTAGTTTCTTTCTACTTATTCATGATTTATGTCTTTATGTCCACACACACCTTGCACAGCTCTTGACCATTTTCCAACTCTTTCTCGTTAGCTCTTTAATTTTGGCTTTAAGCACAGTTCTTAAAACATTTCTCTTCAGTCAAGCATCCCTCTTTGTTTTAAACTAACAGAACTTAGAATTGTTGAAGCTTTTTACAAACATCTTATACATTAACTTGTCTTAAACATAACATGAAGTCTTAAAACCCACAAAGGGATTTCTTCTGTTACAATACATAATAATATTATTTTATTCTAATTAGACTCTTCCCTTTGAAATAGAAGAGGAAACAATTGGCAGTGATTGCAAGCCTTCTTAATTAGCATTACTAACAAATAAAGCTTTGTTCTAACTATTCCAAATGTAAAGTCTTTTCCTTCTTTAAAATAATACAATACATATATAGATATTCAATCCAAACATCTAATACATTGAATGTGTTAAACATGATCTGTGTCTCATTTAACCATAAGTTCTCATTGAGAGCTGCTTCGCACAGGGCAAAAACTGTTTCTAAACTTTTCACCTGGTTGGCAAATTTGTGCCAAGTTATTCTGACCGAAATTGACAAAAGAAGCAGATCGTCTGCACTTCAAAGGACACATTATTTGAAGTAGCAAACCTATAAATCTAGGACTCTCAACAGGTCTTCAAAGTTGGCTAAATTAATGGGCAAAACACCTACATTAATTCCCATTAAAAGATTACATCACAAACACTCCTTTTCTTCCATTAAAACAAGGGCTAAAAACATGTCATTTAAGAATAATTGAAATCATTTGGTGTTATACAACACTGTCTAGTGTTCTAAAACAGGATGTTAACTTTCCAGGAGAATCCCAAAGAATTTTATCCCAAAGGTTTCTTTAACACAGCAATAATCAATTAAAAAAATCATTTGAACCTCCTCCTACAGAACCATGTTTTTTGCACTTTTATGGAGCCACGAATTCATGGAGGCATGATTTTTGTAGTGCTGCCTATAGTCCAAGACATGGTCTACAGTATTATGGTGGTTTTATTTCTTTTCAGCGTAAAAATCATACGAATTCATGAGGATTTGTGCTTTGGAATCATGTTTTTGTGCTGTTGTGGTGCCACAAATCTGTAGATGCGTGATTTTTGTGGTGCTCCCTATAGACTAACACATGGTCTACAGTATGATGATGGTTTTATTTTGTTTCAATGTAAGAATCATTTGAATTCATGAGGATCTGTGTAGATCCGACTTTTACTTTCCCCCCCTGCCCCATGGGGTTGTTGTGTTGATAAAATGAAGAAGGGAAGAATGATAGACAATACCCTGAACTACTTGGATGGAAGGTCAGGATAAAAGTGTGCTAATTATGTGGAAATATCTTAAACCTAAACAGTGGTGCATCCATTCCACCACTTGCTCTGGAGCTCTTTTTAGAAGTAGAGAATGCAGCTACAATTGTGTGGCTCTTGTGAGTGCTGATTTTGTTCACTATTAATTTTCTCACAGGGCTTAGACCTGCACTGAATTAAATCTTGTCTTTAAGAGCACACTGGAAATATAGGAAGGTGAAACTCCTCTACCTGTCATGGAGGCAAACTGATGGGGAAAAAGCTTTCTGGAAGACAATAAAGCTGCACTGATAGGTAGAAAAGAGAACAACGTGCAAGAGAGAGCAGTTTATTCAGTATTTTAGATTCCAATGCATTTTAGGTGGGAGCTAGAGAAGTTTCTTCCTGCC